CCCGGTTTTTATCCCAATGACGTAGCCTTTTCTACCCATTGTCATTCCCATTCAACATCCCTTAAAAATGTGGATAATAATGAAAATATGTTTTATTCTGATGCTACTCCTATCAACCAGTCAACAGACTCCACGACACTTGGTAATTGGCTTCAGGCTTGTTCGAGCGTGGAAGAAACAAGGAAACTGCACACAATTATTGTTAAGTGTACCAAAAATCCTGTCCCCTTCGTAAACAATAATTTGATTAATGCATATATAAAATCTGAGGATCTGGTAGCAGCTTGTAAGGTGTTTGATAATATGTTGGAAAGAAATGTTGTTTCTTGGACTGCTATGCTCAACGGCTACTTAAAATTTGGGTTTGATGATGAAGCTCTAATATTGTTTAGTGAGTTTGTTGAGAATGGATTTCAAGGAAATTCGAAGACATATGTATGTGCATTAAATTTGTGTAGTAGGACAAGTAATTATGACCTTGGGATGCAGCTACATGCATGCATACTCAAGGGTAGATTAAGTAATATTATTTTAGATAGTGCTATTTTGTATTTTTACGCGCAACGCAGTGATTTGGAAGACGCTTTTCGTGTATTTGACCGGATGGTAAAGCGGGATGTGATTAGTTGGACAACCGTGATCACAGCTTGTTCACAGCATAGGCAAGGAAGGGAAGCTTTTCTGATGCTTTCTCAAATGTTGGCAGATGGACTTGAGCCTAATGAGTTTACTGTTTGTAGTATTTTGAATGCTTGTGGGGAAGAGAAGGAACTGAAACNTTCTGATTCTTTCTCAAATGTTGGCAGATGGACTTGAGCCTATTGAGTTTACTGTTTGTAGTAATTTGAATGCTTGTGGTGAAGAGAAGGAACTGAAACTTGGTAGACAATTTCATGGTGTCATTATTAAGAAGGCATTTCATTTGGATGTTTTTGTAGGGACTTCCTTAGTGGATATGTATGCAAAGTGTGGGGAGATCGAGGATTCAAGGGCACTCTTTGATGATATGAAAAGAAAAAACGTAGCCACTTGGACTTCTATTATAGCAGGATATGCTCGCAATGGACTTGGTGAAGAAGCCATAAAAATCTTCCGTATGATGAAAAGACTAAAGATATTTCCTAACAACTTAACCGTCGTTAGCATCCTTAGAGCTTGTGGCTTACTCAGGGCTTTATTGACAGGAAAAGAAGTTCATGCACAAATTATCAAGAATTTTGCACCGAGCAATATTTACATTGGAAGTGCCCTTGTGTGGCTCTACTGTAAATGTGGAGAGTATTATGATGCATCTAAGGTTCTCCAGTACATGCCTGATAGAGATGTAGTTTCTTGGACTGCAATAATTTCTGGTTGTGCTCATCTCGGTCACGAGTATGAGGCACTTGAATACTTGAAAAAAATGTTGCGTGAAGGTGTGGAACCAAACCCTTTTACTTATTCATCAGCTTTGAAAGCATGTGCAAAACTAGAAGATATTAATCAAGGAAAATTGATTCACTCCTCTATAAATAAGACCCTGACATTACCTAATGTATATGTGGGAAGTGCTTTAATTAATATGTATTCAAAATGTGGATATCTTTCAGAGGCAGTTCAAGTGTTTGATAGTATGCCAGAGAGGAACTTGGTTTCTTGGAAGGCAATCATTGTTGCTTATGCAAAAAAGGGGCTGTGTGGAGAGGCATTGAAGCACATGTACAGAATGCAAGCAGAGGGCATCGAGGTGGATGATTACATCCTTTCAACTGTTCTTACTGCATGTGGAAATTTTGAATGGGATATGAAGTCCTCATCAGAGTGTGTTTGCAACCTTCAATATCTCTAAGAGAATTGGTTTATGTTTTGTTAGGATAGAGAAAAGTACCATGAAATCTACTCACAAACATGTAAATATTTGTGTTGTAATATTAAATTATTCGATATTGCCCTTGTGGAGGCCAAATTTATTATCATAATATTCGATACTATTAAGTGAGATTTACATGCTCTTGTTTCTCAGTACACTCTATAGAATAACCTATCACATGAATTTTTAAAGCTATTTATATTGCGAACTATTGATTATAATTATTTGGAGTTGTTCCCCCTCCTACACACACACACACACACATTTGTTTAGAATAAATTCACTGTATTTTTCTTCTGTCCCTATTTGATCCCCATTTTTCCCAACTCATTTTTCACCAGACTCATTTTCAAGAGTACGGACTTTCGGTGAACACTCAATGAATAGAAGATATTTTTATGTGGATTTATGAGCAGGGAGCGTGTTTGTTCCTTTCTCCTAATCATTTTCTGGTAGTAAGTAGTAAAATTTTTGCAAGATATAGTACATAGCTATATATTGAGCTTATTATTTGGAGATTTTCTAGCGAGATTCATGAAGATCATCAAAGGAATGATGAGATTCTTGATGCGGTTAGAAAGTTGCTTTCTGTGATTGGTGAAATTTTTGCTAGCCATGGAGAAGACTTCACAAAAGAATTATTTTATTCATCTTCCAGCTGTTGGAAAACGGAAGTGCTGTTACAAAAGAATATAGGCACTTCTCACAGGCATCTTTTCCGACATATGGAAGTGCAGGGACTAGTTATCCTCATTCTGCAACATCTCTCAGACAGCAACCTCATGATTCACAAATGAGGCAAGGTGCAGCTCATCCGAGCATGAATTCTAACCAGTTGGGACCTNGACGCACGAAGGAAAATCAAGAAGCTGAAAAACGTGGTTATTCAGTTGCCAGTAGCACCCCTGGTATGTTGGTTTATCATTGCTTAAGTACCAAGTAGGCAAGTTTGGTTTTATAATAATTTAACACGCTGCCCAGCACATTAATGTTTTTTTTTTGATCCGGTAAATAATTAATTATATTGATCAAAACATGTACAAGATAGTCGGGCATTCCCGAGCCAAACAATGAAGATAACAAAGTAGCAAAAGAAACAAAGGGCATCAAATGCCGGGCATACCCGGACAATCAAAAGAGAAAACAGCAACAATTACAAATTTAGCGCTAAAGACTCAAAAATGGTTAAAACATACGGATACAAAGAGAACATGACTTTGTATATGTGTGTTTTAATCTGTCTAACAACGCCATCCACATGTGTAGTAAGTCCATCAAACATTTTCCTATTCCTTGTCGTCCATAAATGNTAGACAGTGCTAGCTAGTGCAATCTTCTTGGCTTTGCTATGCCAAGTAGTCCCCCGGGCTTCTTTTTTCATCCACTTTAATGCACTTGAGATTGTAGACATGGAGCGTCTAATCCCAAGCCAAGCACGAACTTGTTCCCAAACGGAGCTACTGAATTGGCATTCAAAAAAAAGATGTCGATCCGTCTCCATATCACAATTACAAAAACAGCAATTTCTGTCAATTTCCATAAACATCAATTTGTCTTTTGTAAGAAGTTTACCATGCGCACCAAGCCACAAAATAAAAGCATGTTTAGGTGTGACTGAAGGATTCCACACAGTACCTGCCCATGGTTTTTTCGGCCTCTTGATTTTGAAAAATTCATAAGCCAATTTGATGCAAAATCTCCCAGAAACTGCCCAGCAATTCAGCCTATTCTGTCCGAAAACTGCCCAGCCATTCAGCCTATTCAGACCTTCCTGCTCATCAGTGTGTCTAGTTACTGAAATCTGTTTTCTAAGTTCCAGCAATCTCTTGATCAGTGGTGAATCATCCTTCCTTCCCTCATACTCCCAAATATTACAACCAAGTAAGAAAATGTGATTAATCCACCTAACCCACAAGGTGTCTTTTTTACACTGTATATTCCATAGGGTTTTTGCCAAAAGTGCGGAGTTCCAACATTTCATATCCCGAAAACCAAGGCCACCTTCAGTTTTTGGCAAACACACATTATCCCATGCAACCAAAGATTTCTTCGATCCCCAAAGGAAGTTACGGCAAATGGCTCTAATTTTAGAGATTACCGTAGACGGGATGGGAAGAATGGAAAGCCAAAAGCACTCCACTCGTTGGAGCACCGCTCTTATGAGTTCTGCCCTCCCCGCATATGAAAGAGTATTCCTCGACCAAGCACCAATGTATCCCGAGATTTTGTTGACAAACAAATCATAGGAACTAACCTTCAGTTTTGCCGCCGCAAGAGGGATACCCAAATAACGAAATGGCATGGAGCCTTTGGCCATATTAGTTATTCGGTAAATATCATCCAAATCTTGTCCATGAACTCCCGCTGTAAACAGGTTGGATTTACTTACATTCATTCGAAGCCCTAAAAAGTCCCCAAATTTATTCAAGCAATCCATCATAATACCAACCGAAATAGGATCCCCTCTTGCAAAAAGCATCAAGTCGTCAGCAAATGCAAGATGAGTGATTTTTAAAGGACCACATTTTGGGTGATAGTTGAATTCACTTTCCTCCGTCACATCCTTGAGCATCCTTGAAAAGAATTCAAGGCAAATAACAAATAAAAAAGGAGATAAAGGATCACCTTGGCGAAGACCCCTTTGTCCTTTGAAAAAGCCATGAATCTCACCATTAAGACCAATAGAATATGTAGGTGTAGAAATGCATTCCATGACCCACCCTATGAATATTGCCGGGAAACCAAGTCCACCAAGTACACGTTGAAGAAAATCCCAATTCACCGAGTCAAACGCCTTTCTAAGGTCAATCTTGAGAAGGCATCTAGGGGCCACCCTCTTACGATTATATTGCCTAAGAAGTTCCTGCGCAAGATGAATATTCTCAACCATACTCCTACCCTCCACAAAGGCCGACTGAGCTTGATCAATAATAGGAACAAGAATAGGACCCAACCTCAATGCAAGAATTTTGGTGATGACCTTGTAAAATACATTGCAACATGCAATAGGTCGATAATCCCCAACGGTGTTAGAATGATTTCCCTTTGGTATTAAAGCAATAACCGTGTGGTTAGTTTGCTTAAGTAATCTGCTAGCATTGAAAAATTCCAACACTGCCTCCACAAAATCTTTGCCAACAATGCTCCAAGCTTTCTTGAAAAAACAAGAAGAAAAACCATCCGGTCCCGGTGCTTTGTCATCCCCAATAGAGAATAAGGCATTCTTGATTTCATCCTCTGAGATATCTTTAATCAAAGTTAAAGCATTCTCATCCGAAAGCATAGAACCACCCATCAGGATATCATTACTAAAATCTGTTACTGGCCAATCTTTTCCCAGATTATTGCTATAGAAGTTCACAAAATGCTCAGCCACTTCTTCCATAGATGACGTAAAAGAACCATCCTCCTTTAGAATTTTAGCGATAAAATTCCTTTTAGCATTTCTTTGAGCAATGGAGTGGAAAAACTTAGTGCACTTATCACTTTTAATAAGATACTCACATTTGGCTTTTTGGCAATAGAAACTCCTCTCCGCTTCACCCAAATCCCTTGCCTTTTTTCTCAGATCAGCCACCTTAATTTGAAGATCCTCATTACGTGGATCATCATGTAGCTCCAGTTGAGCTGCCTTTAAAGACAAACTAGCCATGCTAGCCCTAGAAGAGATATGTGCAAAGTGCTTCTCATTAAACCTTCTCAATTCACCCTTTAAGACTTTCAACTTCTTGCATAAGATGAATTGTTTAGTTCCTCTGACCTCAAAATCCCAACAATTGTGAACCACTTCTAGAAAATTTTCATGATTTGCCCACATGTTAAAGAATCGAAAAGGCCTCTTCTTACTATTGTTATCCCTAAAAAGGGACACAACACATGGTGAGTGGTCAGATACATGTCCCGAAGGCAAGAAATTAGCAAGACTATTGTATCCCTTTTGTACCCAGACATCATTAACCATTGCTCTATCAATCTTGCTCCATTTGGAATTGTTAGTCCAAGTGTAAAAACAACCAATAGATCGCACATCCGATAGTCCAACATTACGACATATATTCTCGAAGTCTCTAATTTCATAAGGGGTGACATCCTTACCATTACTCCTTTCATCAAAATGAAGTACATTATTGAGATCTCCCATAATCAACCAAGGCAATGAGCAATCCAATCCAAAATTTAACATGTTATCCCAAAGAGGTCTCCGACTAACAATAGAGTGAAGCGCATACACAAAGCTAACCATGAATTTCAGTGAGGTTACCTTGCAAGTAATGGAACAATGAATGATTTGAGAGGTGATCTCCAAGACTTCCAGTTCCACTTTTGAAGGGTTCCAGATCACCACAATACGGCCAGCCCTATGAAAAGGGAAATTGTTGATTTGCAAAAAATTTCCAAACTTGTTCCNACACAAAGCTAACCATGAATTTCAGTGAGGTTACCTTGTAAGTAATGGAACAATGAATGATTTGAGAGGTGATCTCCAAGACTTCCAGTTCCACTTTTGAAGGGTTCCAGATCACCACAATACGGCCAGCCCTATGAAAAGGGAAATTGTTGATTTGCAAAAAATTTCCAAACTTGTTCCTCATGATATTATCAAGTTTAGACTCATTCAATTTAGTCTCCAAAATACCCAGTACGTCAATGTTGTTTTCCTTCAGTAACTGTTGAACACCACTTTGTTTGAGGGGAAGGTTCAAGCCCCTAATGTTCCATGTGCTACAAATTATTTAGATGATGAAGGAAGGGTATTCCCCTTCTTCCTCTCCTTAGTTGTAGGTGGTGGTAGTGATATCCTTTCCTCTCTGCATTTACACTTTTCAGTAGTAGAAGAGGTATTCCTATGGGCCATCTCTTTAGTCCCTTGTTTATCATTCTCCTTATGTGAATTCCCATCTGTCTTAGATGATTGTCTGCCCAAGTTAGGCTCAGTTCTAGAACTTTGCCCGTTGTGAAGTGTCTTAGCTTCCTGAGTAATCTGCACTTGTTTGCTTTTTGCCCCTTTTTTCTTCCCAACAACTGGAATAAAGGGTTCTTCCACTTGCTCAGTCAACTGTGTATCAATCTGATCTTTTTCCTTCGAGACCTCCACATTTGCAGGATTAACATGTTCAGTCTCAGTAGCCTGTTTATCCTTCTCTTCCATCCCTTGGTTTACTTTGGTCTTCAAAACCAAGTTCTGTTTATTTCCCCTTTTTGTGATCTTACAGTCTGTGGTAAAGTGTCTAAAAACTCTGCAAGTTGCACAAAATTTTGGTTCATGCTCATATTCCACTTCCTGCACTCTGACTTTATTCTTAGGCAGGTTCATAGGCACCGAACGAACCAATTCCTTGGATGCATCAATTTCAACTAGGATTCGTGCATAAGATAGGCAATCTTGTGTAGCAGTGAGTTTATCTGTTGAAATTGGTATTCCAATCTTGGAGACAATTTTATTCAACAAACTGTCATTCCACATATCCACTGGTAGACCTGGGAGTTTGATCCATACCAGTATGGTAGATATCTCACTCTCATCGAATTTAAAACACTGAGGCATTTCCTTAAGAATTAAGGGTCTGCCAAAGACAAAATAAGGGCCTCCTTGTAATACACTGAACCTGGAGTCCTCATCCTTAAATTTAAAAATAAGCCATCCACTTCTATGAACAAAATACTCATATTTCACATTCCAGCTTTTGCACATAGCTAGAATGGCCTGTTTCCCAGGAAACCGGCCTGCAATATATCCAACGGCACAATAGCCAATCTTTTTTTCAATGTCATCTAATTCAGATTCCTCCACAGTAATGATGTCTGGTAGATCCTTGATGAACTTAAGTTTGATACTTTTATCAGGGCTCCTGTTATCTTTGAAAAGGTTTACCCAAGGCCCCACTTTATTCTCACCATTCTTATTGCTGTTATCCACATTGGTAGCTTTTTGAACTTCAGATG